CACTAGAGTCCCTATAAAGGGACTCCAATGCCCGTATCAAGCCAGCGCTCAACCCAAATGAGTTCAGTGTTTGCCATAGCACATCCCTATTCACTCTGTCATAGGCCTTTTCCAAGTCCATGAACGCACAAAAAACCTTTTGGTTTTTGGCCAAAAACTTCTCCGCGATCATGCGCATGGAAAAGACTTGATCTGTACATCCCATTCCCTTTCTAAATCCTGCTTGCACATCCCAAATTTTTCCATCAGTTTCTTTCATGACCCTTTCAATCAGTACCTTAGCATACAGTTTTCCCACAATGCTAAGAAGGCTGATGCCACGGTAGTTTTTACAGTCCTGCTGCGACCCTTTTCCCTTATATACTGGGACTATCACGGCTTTGCACCAGTCTACCGGTACCCGCTTCAGTTCCCAGCATAAATTAAACAAGGTGTGCAGCAGGCCTGCCACCACTTCCTCTCCAGCCCTTAGCATTTCGAGTGAAACTCTATCATATCCGGCAGCCTTACCTGCTTTCATGCTTTTCATTGCTTTCATTATTTCACCTACACTAATCTCGCTACCTCTTTCCTCTTCTTTCGGAATTTCTACTTCACTTAGTACACACGTTGTCTCCTCACTCATAAACACACTTTCAAAATATTCCTTCCATCTCTTTAAACTCAAAACTTCATCATTCAGAATATAGCCATTCTCGTCTCTTATAGCATTCATCATAGGCTGTTTTGAATGTCCCCTGGCAGTTCTTACAAGTTTCCAGAACATTTTAATATTTGCCTGGAAATTATCCGATATTCTTCTATCATTCTTATCCGTTCTTTCTTGCTTTTTTCTTTCAACTACTTCTTTTACTCTCTTATTAAGATGTCTAAAGACTGCCTTTTTTCTTTCAATATCATCATTCGTACCGCTAGAATTACCAGCCTTTGTTGCTAGTAAATCTAGCCATGCTCTCTTCTTTGCTTCAACTTCCATACGTACCTCATCATCCCACCATAACGTATTATTTTTCCTTTCATTCTTTCTCTTACTAACACCACATACTTCGGTAGCTGCATCCACTAAACCTTTCTTTACATTTTGCCATACATTCTCCAAGTCTAACTCCTTCATACATAATTCATCCAAACCACTTATATTTTCTTTCAGTCTACATTTGAACTTCTTTTTCTCACCTTCATCTTGTAACCTTTCTGTTCTAATACGCTGTAACGCAGTGGTAGACACAGATGACCGATGGCGCCAACGCCTGAATAGACCATTAATTCGGCATAGAACCAAATAATGATCCGTTCCTACGTTAGAACCCCGGTAAACCCTTGTATCTACAACTGCGCCCCTCAATCTTTCATCCACAATTATTAAATCTATCATGCTTCTATCGTCACCTCTTTCCCAAGTATACATGTGAATCCTCTTGTGGCGAAAGCAAGTGTTCGTCACAAAAAGATTCTTTTCCATACATACGGTGAGGAGACTTTCACCATTCTCATTTATACTTTCATCACCAAACGTTCCCAATATCCTTTCATAACCAAGCCTCCTCACCCCAACCCTTCCATTAAAATCTCCTAGCATAATAATATTTTCATTTCCCTTACACTCCATTAACACCATCCTTACCATTTCCCAAAACTGCTCTCGGATATAAGTGGGCTTAGACATGTCTGGGGCGTAGACCCCTAACACAAACAACTTCTTTAAGCCCACTTTCATTCGTATCCACAGCAGTCTTGGGCTTACACATTCATACTCTTTCACACATTGGCCCATTCTTTCTGAAAGGATGATACCTACTCCCTGGCATGCCCGCTCGATCTCGTCTACCCCAGACCAGTATGCGGTATACATGCCATGTGTAGTGACATCCTTTCCCTTCCTTTTCGTCTCATTTACACATAACACATCTATTCCTCTATCATTCATCATATCGCATACTTCATCCATTTTATCATTCATTGCCCCACATACATTCAACGTAGCCAGACGGACCTCTGCAATCCACTTTTCGCCTCTCCGGGAGACAGAACGTGACGGGTGGCGAACCTCGTCGCCGGTTTTCCTCCCGGAGATTCTTCGCACCCCTGCCCCATTAAAGGGGCGCCGGGAACTCGGGGCCATTTCTATTATATTGTTCCTCATGGTGCGGATAAAGGGTGGTATATTTTACGCCTCTACCAGGGCGTGGAGCCGAGTCTGTGCTATCGGCTTGTCGCTCATTTAGCACCACCCGGGGGTGTCTGCTAAATGAGCGACAAGCCGATAGCACAGACACTGACCCCATTTGACAAGGGTTCAGTCGAGCTACCGCATATTGTTTCCATTGTAATGAAAGAGATCTAAGACCACACACTTTTAATTTTGCACTACAACTTTATTCTACACTTCCTATTATGAGACTCACAAATAATACTTGCAAAATTTTACCAGGAAAATAGAACTACACTGACGAGCGCTGGAACTGAAGTGATTCTGTTGCCGCGTTCATTCAATAAGGAAAACGTAATAACGACTTATGTGTGCTCTGATTGGTTGACGATTTGATTGGTCAATACTTGACTAAACAATAACTTTTTATTGAATTCATTAGGTTACTTAAGCAATTTCAATTATCAGGATTATTAATCAAATCGACAATTATTTATTCTACGATTTAAAACCATATTTGAGTTAAAAGTTGATAATGGAATAAATAGTTGTTTTACCAGGAATTAGTGGTCAATAAAGAGATTTGTAAACCAAAAGAGTTTTAAAGAACTAGCTAGTTACATGTTATGTTTCTGATAAATTGCTCTTATTAAATTGTAGTATTAATAATTATACACCGTTGATTATTATAATCAATTAAAAGACAATGCAAAGCTTATGCTTTGTCAACCGATGATGTACTTGCTCCGATATATATATATTCAGCCCAATCAGATGAGAATATTCTATTTGTACCCTAAAATTTTCATAAGAAATTTATAAAAAGTTCTTTAAAATTTAGACTGTAGCTACAATGGCGCCACCCTTATTTAGCGCTTTCCTACGGACACTTTTTTATACAGACTCAAATCGGTATTGCCAAACCAAAATTTTTGTAAAAAGGGCACATGCTTGCGTATGTGCCGTTTATTTAACAAACTACCTTACTCTGCGTTTAATTTCTCGATAGTGGTTAGCTGCTCATGTGTCCTTTTTGCAGAAATGATGTATAATGATAAAATACGTTTGAAAATGAAAAAAAAAAATATAAAATTTTCACCATGTGCCCTTTTTGCAATTAGCGATTCATATAAAATTATTGTGTTTTCATTTGTTTTACATAATGTAACATTGTTTGATATTTCTATATATTGTCAAGGCACGCAAAATTTCATTTCTTTCAAAAGTTCACTGTTGATCATAGGCCTACCTCACAGATTGCTTCAGATGAGGGATATCTGCCATGATTGCCACCCTTGGCAAGCGGGTTGGCAACCGCTGTTTTAATTTTTGTTTAGCTGTTATCAAGAAAATGCTGCTGCAAATAATTGTTTAAATAAGTAATTTTGTGAATTTAAATGCTGCGAATATAAATAAACCTATAACCGGGGAAGAGGAACACTATCTGGTAACCCAGGGATAGTACCTACCGCCTATTTCTATCTCAAAAGTATACAGTATACACGAATGCTTTATCTAGTCAATCCTCAATCTACGGTTAAATCCTTAGGTCTATGGCTCATATGTTTATTAATAATTATTTTATTTGACATTGGCAAAAAAGCTTTTAAGGGTAAGAGTCTTGGGTAAGGGTGGGTAAGGGACTGGAAAAAATAAAAAACCTTCCCAATGTCAGACTCAGATGTCATTTGTAGTGATGGGACGTGAGTGACGTTTTTTTCTCTCGAGTCACTCGCTAATGATAACCTACTCACTCGAGTTTCACTCGAATGAAGATAAAACTCGAATGACTTTTTTCACTCGAACTACTAGTCTGACAAAAAATTAAAAAAACCTTTGTTTTTAACACTTTTAAAAGTTTTGTAAATCTTGACGAATAATTTTGTTGAGAGCTAAAGTTTTTGAAGTGAAAACTTCTTTAGCGGCGTAGTACACTTTTTTTTGTAATGGGTAAAAAAATTTAAACTCGCGTCAGGACACGTGACCTGATCGAAAATTCGTAAGACGGACGGCGTAGGAAAGCAAGTCCCCTCTCTTTCTACGGCGCGGCGAAAATTTATGCCTGCGCCTGCTGTTTCGTTTAGGCGGCGCAGGGCGCTTGCGCGAATGTAATATAAATTGTCATGTTTCTGTACGATAGCGCAATAAAAGTATTGTATTCTACCACATAAATGATAGTACTTTTATACTGATAATTAAAGCAATTCGTGCAAAATTATTCCATAACCATTCCAAAATATCAAAAATGCACAACGTTAATATTCAAGTTTTCACTTCTGTAGGCACTCCCAGAGTGCAACCCGTCGTTTTTTTTGTTTCGGCTTAGTAAGCGATGCATTAGGCCTTGTAAGCTGTAGGTGCTGAAAACGCCATTTCATTGAAGTAGGATCGGCGAACGTGGTAGCAGAACTATTTCCTTCATTAATTGAAGAACCGCAACCATCCCTTTCTTCAAATATGAGAAATCAATTGTTAGTATTCAAAGTATTTAACTTTTCTTCACTCTTACTTAACTTTTTTTCCCACATTTTGTCTTAAAATGAACATATCTTTTTTGAACTTTAATTCTTTAACAATACTACGACAAACACTTAAAATAAACAAAAGAAAAAACCACAATTTTACTAATTTCAATAAAAGTGCATCGCTCCCTAATGAATTGAACACTCACACCGTCAAATGTCACTGTCAGTCGCTCTCGGTCTGATTTTTATTTGTGACATTGGAGTGTTATGGAGTAAAATATAATTAAATTGTTTACAATTATTAGTTTATTTGTTGTCTAATTACATATATTTGGCGTTTTAAAATAAATTCCTAAAGTCAAATAAAGAAAACTTATTCAAGAATCATGGGAGGAGGGGACTTGGTAATAGATTTTTATTTGTCTCCGTTTTTATTTTATTTTATCTTAATATTAACCCAGTATAATTAATATCTGAAAATTTGATATGATTTCCTTAATAGAATTCTAAAAAAGCTTGGCACCCAAGTACCTTAAAAAATCAAGAACGAGTATGGAAGGCAGAGCAAGCAGCAGCCGAAGAGAACAAACGCATTCTTGAATTGCAACGAGAACGTGCGGAGGAAAGGGATAGGGAAGAGCTAAATAAAATAGTTAAACGCACTTCAGGTAGTGCTGGTTCGTCTAATGAGAATCGTCTACATTGGATGTATGATGTACGTAAACACTGTTTCATTTCTAACCAAGATGCTTAATTTTACTTTACTTTAAGTGAGGTTTATGTATTTTATTCATTCTAATGGTTACTTCTTCTAAATAGTAAATTCTAACAATTTTATATTTCTAAAATTTAAATTTTATATTTATTAGTAAGGTTTCTTTAAGTACTTAAGTGACAAGTGAAGTCACATATTAATAGGTACAGAAGGAGGATAATGTAGTCATGGACATTTACAAACAACTTAATAAATAAGTAGTTAGGGATTTGTTGTCACTCTTGAGAAAATAGATGAAATGCATCATACCAAGTACTTTTACCGGCTCTCCATACCTCCTAATGGTATGGAGCACAACAGAAGATAAATATCAGCAGAGATAGCTACGAAAGAAGGCTCCATTTAAATGCCAAATTATTTAAAGGGATAAAATGCTTTTTTTTCATCACAAAAAGTACCCACATCACTTGTTTGGCTTATAGTGCACAGTTGCTTTTGTCTCTTACTGGGTTGTGGCCGTAGAGGAAAAAGGGGATATCTCCCGCTGGACAAGGTGTTCTGCCCAGGGAGCGGCCAATGCTCCATGCAATAGTTTGGAGCTATTCTATATATACTGTTTTTTGATTCGGAACTTTGATAGCATGATTTAGGCTTCTAGGGGTTATTAGGGTTGTCATTAATATCTAGTTATGGGGTCACTCGAGAACCTTTTTTCACCATTGCTTATCGGTATTTTGAGCTATATGGTCTGCCTATAGACACTTCAGCTTACTGATCGATTGGGATATGTTGGTTACTCTGGTTATGCTGCGGATATCCTTTTTTTTTTCAAATCTGTCATACAGAGAAACTTTAAGCTTAGCCCTTTTCATAGTCCATTGAGTTATCTTGAGCTTTCATATATGGCCAGCAGTGTAGGACCCTGTCTCAGCTCTATAAATCATCACTGGAAACAGGCACTATACTCACTGTATGCACTGTAGCTTACAGAAAGACTTAACTGCTTACTTACATAAATAGAACACACTAAACATGAGTAGTAAGAACATAAGTAGTTAGAAGTTGTATGAATTTTCACATACCCCACAGAGAAGTCAATAATGATCATACATTATATAATTATATTGTTATGTGTTTCTAATATCTGTTTGATATAAACTATTTTTAAATGCTTCTGTTAGCTTGATTGGGTGTGTGTATTGAAATATTTCCCGTTCACCTTGACCCTACTTTCCGGAATGTATCCTTGGAATACACTCACCACCTTCAATTGTTAGGGGTTCATTTTTCTCTGGACCTCTACTATGGGTGGTTCATTGAGTTCAAGGCCAAATCTGCCGTGAGAATAGAGCCATGCTGCAGCTATATTAGTAGTATAGTTGTAGCATGAACGGGGTCTGCTCCACCGAGGAAGGACCATGCTCTCACAGAATTTCAGTGTAAAATAGCAGCTTAACACCTATGTTTTGTATAGTGAGTGTAGAGAACTTTTCAATGGAAAAGAAGCATTTCATATTAGTTCTCACTGGTAACAAAGCATCAGCATTTTGATTCATAATCGAGGATTGATGTAGATGTCTATTACAAGCAATAACCACCTACCATCAGGGAGGACTGTGTGCTTGTTTGTCACCCTTATCCTATAAAAAAAAAGAACTAAGTGTTCTTGCAAGGTTGCAGTGTTACTTCACGCCAGAGCAGCTTCTTATACAAGGCGCAAGTACGGTCGTGCATGGAGTACTACTGTCTCATTTCGGCAGGTTCTGCAAAATGCCACCTAGCAGTGTTGGACTCAGTGGAGAGACATGCAAAAAGGCTCATTGGTAACCTTGATTTGGTTGAAACCAATCTTGTTAGCCTCAAACACAGGCATAGAGTAGCCAGCCACTCAGTATTCTATAGGATGCATTTCGGTGAGTGGCGCAGGAGTTATATGCTTTAATTCCTCCATCTCCTTTCCACCATTGGACAATCAGACGGTCGGCGGGTTTTCGATTATTTAATGTTGATATTTCACACATTAGAACCAAACTTGTTTACCTCTTCTTTTATAATACGTACAGCAAAAGAGTGGAATCATTTGCTGGTGTCTATTTTTCCCTCCAAATACAATCTGGGCTTCTTCAAGAGTGAAAAGGGTTTTGTTACGCTAAGACATTGCAATGTACCATCTAGGGCTATATCACTACTTACCACTAGATGGGATTGTGGTCAAGCACTGGCTTATAAAGTAAAAGAAAATATATATAATTCAGCTTACACACTTCTGAAACTGATGTTGTGGCTTTACCGATGGACCATTGAAAATACAACAATAACATGACTAATATAGTACCAGGTTCATCACAGCTCATGGTCCAAGCATGATGTTTAAGTTTATAAACTAGTATATTTTAAATAGAAATTTATTATTTATTTTCTTCATAGTTTTACATCTTTTTAAACTTTCTTAGCATATTTAATTTCAGAAACCTGACAAAAAAGTACAACAAGAAGACTTTCTGTTGGGTAAATCTATTGACTCAAATCATGATCAAACGGACAAAGGACATCTAGATATACCAGCTGTAGCTCGTAGAGTTGTTGGTTCTAGCATGATAGCCACATCAGGAGACACACAAGTTGACTTAGCTCGTAAACTTCGAGAGGATCCATTATTGTTAATCAAGGAGAGGGAAAGAGCAGCAAGGGCTGCTCTTCTGAATAATCCTTTACAACGTAAACGACTTACAGAATTGTTAAGAAAGGAACAAGTAAGAAAACATATGTTCTACTTACATTTTTATAATATATTTCGTCCCTTCACAAATACACGGCTGAACATGGGCCTACCTCACAGAAGACGGAAGGCACTGTATAATGCTTAATTTTAAACTTATTTAAGACATTGTTTTTTATATCTTTATTTTTTATTACTTCATCACAGAAAAACTTTTCAGTTTCATATGTGATTGAAGCAGAAACACAAAAATTTTCAGTTTTTATGTTTCTCTTCAATTGTATTTTATAAAATAATTATTGCTAAATTTTATAAAACAATTAAGGAAAATAGCTTTATTTAATTGCATAAAAGCTGCATATTGAATGGAAATGTGAAGATGTACATTACCTTTTTATGTAGCAGAGTCACCTGGCGCGACCCAAGTACCGGCACGATCAACCCTCAAGCACTGACGTGCAATTTAGTAACACTAACACTGACGTACATATGACATACGTCTATGATTTTAAAGACCTCTTGTGCATCGATAGAGTGTAAATATTGTGATTTGTATTTACATTTTGGTTAAATATATTTAATATAACCCAGGGATATTAAAAAAACAGTTAAGATAATTAAAACAAAATATTTATTAATCAATGGCCTTAGAAGTAATGAAATTAACATAATATTTTGTTAAAATCAACTAAAAAATAATTTTTAAGAATAGGAGCGTTTATTATTGGTTTTGTTACTTACTAAGGATGGTTTTAATTATAAAAACATAGCAATCACATAAATAATGAAAATTAGGCACTTTTTAACAACAGTTGTTGCAGGTCGGCTTAGAGCACTGCAAACATACTGGTTTACCGCATGCTTGACAACCGTATATTGTTTTGCGACGTTTTAGTTTATAACACATATAACAATTCTTCATGGTTTCAAATTTAATAATTTCATGACTTGGTTGACCCACTTCGGTAGCCATATCTTTGCTCAAGATACGACCAATAAGACTCGAAAGCTCATGTGAAAGTTGCGGCGTCGTGTATCTTCGCTCGAGGTGCGGCTTTACTAAGCTTTTTCCAAGATTTTTCATGAATCTCAGGCGATCCGAAGTATTATAATTTGGCATTATAAAAGAATTGACAGCAGCAATATCTAAAATTCTGTAGAATATGATCAACGGCCATCGCCTAGACCTTGTTGCACAGCAGTATTTGATACATTTTTCATCTAAGGAATCAACACCTCCTTTACAAGAGTTATAAAAAGATATTATTTCTGGGATCCCTTTGACCGAATCCATGCTCTCTGTATGGTGCATCGACGACAACATTATAACAGTTTTGTGTTTTTTTGGTACATAGGACAACAACATAATATCTTTCGTGAAACCGTATAAAACTGAATGAACTGGTCGAGTTTTGGAAAGAAATTCAGGTGGTATTTCCCTTTTGTTTTTTTTTAGTGTCCCTACATATGTCAAACAATTTTTTTTAATTCTCTGCATACTTCAATCGAGGAGAAGTAATTATCTGCAGTGATGTTTCGATTAGTTCCCATGATGGGTTTTGCTAAACGTAAAACACATTGTGTAGGTACCAGCAGTTTTTTCTGTTCGTCGGTTAGTCCGTTGCCGTCACTGTTCTTGCCCGTATAGAGGTAAGCATTGTACAGGTAACCGGTGTTACTATCAGTTAGACATTTTATTTCCAATCCATACTTGCAGGGTTTGTTAGGCATGTACTTCTTCCATCTGCACCTGCCTCGAAAAGACACTAACATTTCGTCGATAGTGGTATTCTCTCCAATTTTATAATACTTTTGGCAATTGGCGACAAATTCATAAAATATGCTCGAGATAGGAGCAGCGACATCAGACTGTTTTCTTTCATCTCTGGTAGATGCATCATCAAACCGAAGACTTATGAGAATCATTGCAAAACGATCTTTGGACATTACTCCTCTAAAAATATCTCTCCCTGTTCCATCAGTAGCAAACAATGCATTTATGTCTTCATCATTCGATTTGAATGCTGCGCTAAAAATCAACAGCCCAATGAAAGCATCCAACTCTACAGAATCTAAGTCCTTCAGTTCAGGTTTACCTTGTCGCTTATATTTTTGCCTTATCAATTCCAGTTTTTGGTTAGTATTTTCTTTAATTTGTGTTTTAATATTGTCAGTTATTAGCAAACTAAATAATTGTGAAGGCAGACTATCCGCTGAAAAATCAATTGTAGTTATTGGAGTAACGATGTTGTGCGCAGGTGTGTGTGTAGTTCTCGATGGCCTTTCTGCAGACCACTTTATGTAGCATTTTTTTTGTAGTAGTACTTTCTGCGAGATTGCGATACATTACCCTCGGCAACTGTATTTACTTGAGAATCGCTTACCTGGACGCCAGTTTGCCTTTTTTAAGAATCAATATGGCAGGAAAAATGTGACAAAGGCATACCATCTTCAGAAGAGTCAGGGTCCGAAGCTCCACCAGCGGCCTCTCCATCTTCATAATACTCCTCTTCTGAATAATCATCGCGGTCCGACTGAATGTAATCATTTTCATCTGCCGATGATTTATCTGATTCACAAAGCCAAGATGCGATAATTTCTTCGTTATTAGTAGCATCACCTCCAATACGTAGTATTTTTCTAGACGAAGATATGCCGGAAGGAGAATTATATCGCTTACGATTCATTTTATCGAAAGACAAACATAAACATAATATAAAAAAGTCACACTAACACTGACAATAGGTACGACGTACGTCAAGGTATCAAACTTACCTATTTAGACATGTGCCACACGTCTGCACTCCACTGTTACGCGGTCGTTACTGGCGAATAGGAAACTACAAAAAAGGACGCGTTCGAAATCCCGCGCAATTTAAAATTTACATCGAAAAATTGTTTAGGCGACGTACCACATACGTACGTCAGTGGTTGAGGGTCAAAGTAAAGATCACACTAGCACAGAATACCACCTTGAGATTTGCGTGATATAAATGACCATTATGATTAATGAGATCTGGTGTGCCGGCTTACCAGTGGTGAAGCCTCCATAAAAGCTAATAAGCTAGGCTTGCCCTTTCAAACTGCTCAATCAATAATATCAACTAATAAAATAACTCGTAAACTGTTTCTAACTATTTCAAATTTCCCGCGCGCTCCTCTGTTCTACACAGATCCATGACCTCTTAGCATATATGTAACGTCAACACTGGCAGTTTGTTTTCAATTCGAAATACACTGATTCGTGTTCTGTCTGTAGCAAAGCGAAAACGCAATGGACTGTCAAAATTAATGAAAGCAAGGATTTGATTTGAGCTATTAGACGTCTCTCTCGCACGCGTGGGCTTTTTACCGGACTTTCGAGAAGACGTTCGCTCCCTTTCTAACGTGTGGCAAAATGTTCTATAATGAAATATAACTACGAAATATTTATATAGTAATTACTATGGAACCAAATGCCGGGCTTTGCTCTGAAGTTGTTTAGTAGAGCGCGGGCGTGCGGGCGATACGTTTGCACTTTGCAAGTTCACTTCACATTTATGTTTTTTTTGTTGTGTCTGTTAAAAATTTATCCTTTTTCATCATTCTTTAAGATTTTTAGTGAAAATGGAGGATAATAGTGTTCCTTGTCATGAATTGAAGTGTGTTAAAGTGCTAATCATCGAGGAAAAGGTAAAATCTTTAAAATTTGTAGAGAAAATACACAAGGTCAAGAGCGTCTTTCGGACTTATCAATTATCGCAATTGAAAAACAGTTATTGGTACAATTAAAATGTTCACCACCATTTTAAGCGGACGTAATCAAATCTTTCCTGAAGAAAGAGAGACCATTGAATTTAAATATAAATAATTTGTTTTTTTTTTAATTTTGCACATTGTTTGTACTTTGTTCATGTACATTGTATGTAAATATCTTTTTCGTGCGCTCAAGCAAACCCAAATGGCTATTTTCAAAGCCACCGAAGGTATGCAATTGCAGATATGCCATACAATCTATCTAGCAGTAGTATGCCTTCTGTGTGCTTTGTTAAACACGTCCTCGTCAGCACTGAATATGAAAGTAAAGAGTGGAGACAGATCAGGATGATGTATTTTTATTAAACTGCTAAAAACGAAGATCATATCTTGGGCTTGCCCTAGTTTGGAGCCCTAGCTTCGCCACTGCGGCTTACCTTTACTGATATTGAGGCATTTCATCTCAGTTCTCAAGGGGCAAGGCATCCGCATACTAAATTAATAGAATAGATTAATAGATATGTAGATGTCTTTGCGACAGCAGTCACTGACATCATGATCACCTTATCACCCTAATTTCTATACAATTAAAGAAATTTAATTTTATGGTTTTACCACTTTTAGTTTAAACTTGAAAACTTGTAATAACCTATTTGTTTTACGTAAAATACTTCATCATAGAGGAATCCTTAATTAGATTGCCATTCCGCCGGCCAAGCATGACGATTATGGCAAATTCTCGATATAACAGGATAGAAGCTCCACCACCACAACTAGCTGTGGACTTTTATGAGCTAATAATGTAGAAAAAGCATAATGATTTCTTATATTTACGCGAACACTACACATTGAAATAATACTAGTTTTTACGGAATTTATCGCGTATATTTTAACTTTTTAAATACCCGACGTTTCGAACGCTTTACAGCACTCGTGGTCACGGGCAGGACTGAGATGTTCAACGTCCATATGTCATAGTTAACCGCGGTTACCATAGATTAAAATTTAACTTTTGTTCCGATCTATGCAGTATGAACTTATGGTATCTTGAAGTCTTGCAGTTGTATGCTTGGGTTGGGATTTAATTTTATTTATTATAGGATCCCAAGCAGATGGTAGCACCACCACTCCTAAAATAGGATGTTTTTGATTTCAATAGCCTCCAATCATCATTTCTATCTCTTACCATGTAGTGACGCTCCTTGTTCACAGACTGCAGACTTCCCGGAGCGTCGATTCTTCACATCAGCTATATGTTCTTTAACGCGGGTTTTTATTGATCTTTTAGTTTGTCCTATGTAGGAGAGACCACATTCACAATGAAGCTTGTACACTCCTGCATCTTGCAGAGGGACATTACACTTGACCGATGGTAAAAACTGACCAATCTTCTTCAGCGGCTTGAAGTATGTTTTGATGGAAGCGCGCTTCAAGATGTAGCCAATCTTGTCAGTGACTCCTCTAACATATGGCAGTACAGCAGGTACACGCTCGACTGTGGCCGGCTTCCAAACACAGATCATAGATTAATCGCGCTCTATAATCTGTCAAAACAAACACTGGATGATACAACAATTAGAGTTTTATCCAAAGGCCTCAACTTTGCAATTACACCCCGCAAATTACCGTACGAAGAAATTATCTGTAGTGTCGAGGACTGTTTATTTAAAAACAATATGCGGAAAGAAGATTTGGAGGCGATACGTCAAGACATCTCGTCTATGTTACGTCGATGTTCAGTGCCTAAACCGAATCTTCCCAAAGACGAATTTATAGCGTTAAAGAACCTACGCAATAAACACGAACTTACGATTCTCCGCGCAGATAAGGGAAACGCCACAGTAGTCATGGATACGTCAGATTATAATTCTAAAATACAAGAACTTTTGTCGGATGTAAGTACTTATAAAAAGGTTAAAAACGACCCAACAAATAGCACACTAAAAACAACTAGTGACCTCATAAAGAAACACTCCGAAAAATTAAATCTGGACGTAAAATGGATAATACCTACGTGCGCCAAATCACCAAAATTGTATGGGTTACCAAAAATACACAAGCCCAATGCTCCATTACGTCCCATAGTGAGCCAAATCGATTCACCAACTTACAGATTGGCTCAACACTTAGCGAAAATACTCTCACCACTCAGGGGACATACAAGAGCACACATAAAGGATTCCTACCATTTTGTCAGCGAGATTAAAGACCTACATCTGGCAGACAATGAAACTATGGTCAGTTTTGATGTGCAGTCATTGTTTACATGCTTACCTGTTGAAGACTGCATCTCAATTGTAACTAGAAGGCTGGAAGAAAACAACATGCCCGTAGAATATGCAGTATTACTCAGACACTGCCTTACATCTGGCTACCTATTGTGGAAGGAGGAGTTCTACAAGCAAGTAGATGGTGTGGCGATGGGCTCACCTGTATCTTCCATTGTCGCCGACATATTTAATGGAAGACTTTGAGGAGAAAGCCCTGCTTAGCCTTCCCATAAATCCAAGGTTCTACAAGCGGTACGTAGACGACACTTTCACAATTCTACCTTTAGATAAAGTAACTGCATTTTTAGACCATCTTAACTCTATAAATTCTAAAATTCAGTTCACAATGGAGTTAGAGGCAAACAATTCCTTAGCTTTTCTAGATGTGTTAGTAATTCGGAATCCTGATAACACCTTGAGCCATACTGTGTATAGAAAAAAGACCCATACAGATAGATATTTAAACGGTGATTCTCACCACCATCCTTCACAGTTAGCTACCGTGGGTAAATCTTTGTTTCAGAGAGCACGAGGGATCTGTGACAGTAAACACCTGGCTGCAGAGCTCCACCATGTCAAGCAAGTTTTGCATGACAACAAGCTTCGAGTCCCGCACCTACGTCACAGAGAACGAGTGAAGCCGGCCACAGTCGAGCGTGTACCTGCTGTACTGCCATATGTTAGAGGAGTCACTGACAAGATTGGCTACATCTTGAAGCGCGCTTCCATCAAAACATACTTCAAGCCGCTGAAGAAGAATGGTCAGTTTTTACCATCGGTCAAGTGGAATGTCCCTCTGCAAGATGCAGGAGTGTACAAGCTTGATTGTGAATGTGGTCTCTCCTACATAGGACAAACTAAAAGATCAATAAAACCCGCGTTAAAGAACATATAGCTGATGTGAAGAATCGACGCTCCGGGAAGTCTGCAGTCTGTGAACACGTACAGGATCGCCCCCGTTACTACATCAGATTTGATAGACCGCAGATCCTCGCTAAAGAACACCGATTCCTTCCAAGGATGATTCGCGAGGCTATTGAAATCAAAAAACATCCTAATTTCAATAGAGAAGATGGCTGGGTGCTACCATCTGCTTGGGATCCTATAATAAATAAAATTAAATCCCAACCCAAGCATACAACTGCAAGACTTCAAGATACCATAAGTTCATACTGCATAGATCGGAACAAAAGTTAAATTTTAATCTATGGTAACCGCGGTTAACTATGACATATGGACGTTGAACATCTCAGTCCTGCCCGTGACCATGAGTGCTGTAAAGCGTTCGAAACGTCGGGTATTTAAAAAGTTAAAATATACGCGATAAATTCCGTAAAAACTAGTATTAGAAAAAGCATGTAATAAATGTATTTTTAAATAAAAAGTTATTGTATTTTACAAATTTTATTTATAGGAAGAGTCTAAGGAAAGCAAAGAGAAATATAAATTAAAAAGTAAAAGCAAAGACCTGGATAATATTTTAGCAGCCAAATTAAATGCATTAGGAGCGAAAAAAGGTGTAGATTTAACAGCTTTACTTGCATCTGATGATTCTACTTCAGATTCCTCGTCTGATGAAATTAAACATAAAAAGAGAAAGAAAGACAAGAAAAAGAAGAAAAAGAAGAAGAAAAACAAAAATAATGACAAAAGTAGGCCACGTGTTGATTCTGAAGACTCTGAAAAGAACCCAAAGGATACTAATAAGGGGTCCAAAAAGTTAAAAAATGACGATAAAGATAGTAAAAGAAATTCAACACAGCATAAAAGAAAAAAAACAGTATCCGAAAATGAAAGTGATCATGCTGAGATGGATACAAAAAAACAACGAAAAGACAGCACAATTAAAGAAAAAAGATATTATGACAAATACCACCATGACTCAAGTGAAGAGGATCATAGAAATTCACGACGGAATTCATCAATTCGTGAACGAGGCGAGAAACGATATATAAATAGAAAAGAACTTACAAGTAAAACACGTGTAGGGATGAGTGAAGAGGAGAAGGCTGCTAAATTAGCGGAAATGGCGGCTGCTGGAGCAGAACGGGAGGTACAGCGTGGCCGCCGCGTAGCGGAACAGTTGGCAGAAAAAGAGGCTTCTGAAAAGAGTTCTAATGTGGCGAGGCATTCTAGACGTAAGGAAGTATGTTCATTGCCAGACTCCCTTGAGAGTCGGATACATTCGAACCGGCACTATATTCAGCGTGATAGACGCCATATGAATGAACATTTTGCTAGGCGATAGCAAATTAACAATTTTTAATTTATCATACATTTTAAAAATAAAACAAATAATGCTATAATTTTCTTTATTTATTAATTCTAAAAATACAATAAATATCTTATGTGGGCGATAATTACGAAAATGCTTAGATTAAAATCAACCCCTATTATATTACATTTAGACTGGAAATTTACAAGGCCATGTTTAATATAGAAACAGGATTTTATCCATGTAAAATACTAATATTAGTTATAAGTTTCTGCTTGGTATTACTCCAGTTTTGCTAGGTAATTTTACTTAATTAGATTTAAATGTATTATTTTCATTCCTAGTGGTTTAGTCGAGGGGAATCTTCTCTCGGACAATCTGTAACGAAGTATTTTTCAGTTACATTTATACTGGGTATTATTTTTAATTTAACATTCATTATTATATTTAATATTAATATTCTCTTGGTTTAGATTACTAATTTTCACTGCCATGGAATGACGATATTATCATTATGCGATAATATGGTGGTGTAACAGATGCCATCACCACTAACTCCTCGCGTAAATGTCTCAAGGGTCTAGGAATATTAGGAAGAACTTGTAATGAGGTTTTGAAATAATAACCATATTTAATAAGCCAGAGTTTAAAGTACTTACGCAAACCAGTGAGAGGGAGCAATATGTTTTAAGAGGTCGTTACTTTGATCAATAACTACATCAATACGCGTGTCAATCGTGATGATATTTACAACTCTTCCTTATTATGGATGGCCCTATGTAGCAGTGAGATGTTTCACGGGCTGATGATTATGATATGTATGTGGTGCGCGATGCGCGATGGTTTAATCAGCCAATTACAAGGATAGAATATTTACGCCAGTTATTAAATATTAAATTACAATAACATTCAATGTTAATCTGTTGAGGTTTACATTATTTGGGTGATCTAAGTTCAAAATCAGCCCTTTTTGTTTATTTTTTGCATTTCACAGTTAAGTCATTTCACAAAATGACCTTAACAGCAGTTGTATAATTTTCTAATTTAGATATTTCAAATTTATGATCTTGAGAACAATTTTTTGTTACGTTTGGTTGCAACAAAAAAACTTTTATCCAAACCTGATAACAGTTTCTGTAACAATTTCGTTTAATAAAATGTCTAAGCTCCGCCCTTAGTTAAACGTTAGTTAAGTTGGCTAAGCCTTTACAGATTTTATTGAAAAATCTATTGACAGACGAATTTACAGTTCATCTGATGGTATATAAGTGGCTATTGCAGTCCATGGACACCTGGAAACAACTTAGAACAACATAGAAGGCTACGGATGTGTGTTGTCTCCAGAGACTAAGATGGAACGCTTTACAGCTTGTTTTTGTTTCTGTTTAACTATTGAGTCTATTGCGCGGTCAGGGAAATTGTTAAAAGACCTTTTTAATTATTTCTCTTTTAGCTATGTCTGCCGACAGAAATACTTGCCCAGGCTGACTCTTAGAGAAGAAGTCCTACCACCTAGGATTGAATTGAATCTACTAAACTAGCCCCGAAGTTACATATAATACGAGGTAGAGCCACGCTGCTACTGTATGGTTGCAGCACGAATAGGTTGCCTCTACTGGATGTCCTCTTATAATGGAATTTTAATAGCAGCATAATTATTCTGCTCATATGGTGAGTGTAGAGATATGGAAACTAACTATACTGGTAAACGAGGTTTTTCGTAGTGGCCCTCAGGGGTGCCTTCGCATGTGCACTTTGATTCCTTATTGAGGATAGATTTTGGTGCCTATGAGCGCCTGCATCCACTTACAATCAGGTGGACTGTGTGCCCGCTTGTCACCCAAATTTCTATAAAAAAGTTAGTGATGTTTTTGGGGTGTATGTATTATTTTTAACGATTTTGGGGTGTATGTATGTATGTTTGTTTCTTCCTTTATGAGACTCCTGTAAAACTATAGATACAAGATATCACGAATCTAACCACCTAGGTTCGTTTTATTTTCGAAAAGTCACACATATATGTAACAGATAATAATTACATACAAAAACCTGTCACCCACATGGGGCAGAGACTACGGACTTCCATTGGCCACGATCTCCTAGCCTTTTTCACATCCATATACATCATATGATCTTCGGTTTAAAGTACTATTGATTTACCCATTCTCAATATATAACTATATATACATCATCATCATTGCAGCTTTTCTAAAGTTCGCTGATGTACTTATAACAATTTTCTAAAATCCAGCGAAATCTGATACATGTTATGACGTTAGAATATGGCGTTTGATTGAAGCGTATTCCGATTATAGTTCATAAAAGATAGCTTGATCTCTGCGACAGCTGTCAAAGTAAAATCACGCCTATGAAGTCCTGAATTTCTTAGTAGTACAGATAGTACCAGTCAATATCATACTTTATGGGCATGCCGACCCATTAGTGCATGCCCATAAAGTGTGACATTGACAGGTACTGTCTGTACTACTAAAGAAATTCAGGACTTCATAGGCATGATTTTACTTTGACAGCTGTCGCAGAGATCAAGCTATCTTTTATGAACCATAGTGTGTTTTTTATAATTTTTAATAAAATAATAGACTACCCACAAGACACGAAATGCAAAGAACTCTACGTTCTTTGTTTTTCTTTTTTATATAATAATTTACTAGCAACCAAAGCTGGTAATTCTTCTGGTATGAATGATGAGATTGAAAGAAAAAAGGCAGAATTTAGACGTCTAAATAAGAGAGTAAAAGAAGTTGTTGAAAGGAAAAAGAAAGAAAGAACGGATAGGAATGATATAAGGATATCTGATAATTTCCAGGCTAACATAAAAATGTTCTGGAAACTCGTAGGAACTGCCAGGGGAAATACAAAACAGCCTATAATTAATGCTATAAGAGACGAGAATGGATGTATTCTGAATGATGAAGTTTCAAATTTAAACAGATGGAAGGAATACTTTGAAAGCGTGTTTATGAGTGAAGAGTCGTCTGAATTAAATGAACTAGAAATTTCGAAAGAAGTGGAAAGTGGTATGGAGATAAGTGTAGATGAAATAATGAAAGCAATGAAAAGCAGGTAAGGCAGCTGGATATGATAGAGTATCACTCGAGATGCTAAGGGCTGGAGAGGGAGTGGTGGCAGGCCTGCTGTACACCTTGTTTAATTTATGTTGAGAATTAAAACGGGTACCGGATGACTGGTGTAAAGCAGTTATAGTACCAATATATAAAGGAAAAGGGTCACAGCAGGACTGCAAAAACTACCGTGGTATCAGCTTGCTTAGTATTGTGGGTAAACTGTATTCTAAGGTGTTAATTGAAAGAGTTATGAAAGAAACTGATGGAAAAATTTGGGATGTGCAAGCGGGTTTTAGAAAGGGAATGGGGTGTACAGATCAAGTCTTTTCCATGCGCATGATTGCGGAGAAGTTTTTGGCCAAAAACCAGAAAGTTTTTGTGCGTTCATGGACTTGGAAAAGGCTTATGACAGAGTGGACAGGAATGTGTTATGGCAAACACTGAACTCATATGGGTTGAGCGCTGGTTTGATACAGGCATTAAGGTCTCTTTATAAGAACTCTAGTGCTTGTTAGGATCAATGGGGTCTACTCGGACTGGTTTGGCATCCAAAAAGGTGTCAGACAGGGCTGTGTAGCTTCCCCTTGGCTGTTCAATCTATTTATGGACAGGTGTTTGCAAACTTTGAAAGATGAAGAATGTGGGTTGAGAATGGGCGAGTTAACCGTCAAATGTCTATTGTATGCCGATGATCAAGTCATATTTGCGTCATCGGCGGCTGAGTTGCAAATGATGGTTACATTAATGAACTGGGAATTAAAAGAAAGGGGAATGAAATTGAACGCAAGTAAGACGAAAGTGATGGTTTTTGAAAGAGAAGAAAACAAAACGGTATGTGAAATAAGAATAGAAGGAGAGTTAATTGAGCAAGTGGATGAGTTTGTGTATTTGGGATGTGTATTTAGCAGGGATGGTAGATATGATAGGGATATAGAACGACGAGTAAATGCAGGGAATAGAGTGAATGGGGCACTACACTCTATTATGAAGAACCAGAATGTGTCAAAAAAGGCACGTATGGTAATTCATAATGCTGTGTTAGTCCCTACTTTAATGTATGGTAGTGAAAGCTGGGTGTGGCAGAAGAAGCACGAAAGTAGAATAAATGCTGTAGAAATGCGGTCTTTAAGGAATATACTAGGGTTGAATTTGAATGACAGGGTGAGAAATTGCGTGATAAGAGATAAATGTGGTATGCAAGATGATGTTGTGACCAGGATTAAGAAAGGAGTGCTTCGGTGGTTTGGTCATGTAGAAAGAATGAATGAGGAAAGAGTGACAAAGCAAATTTATATGGCAGATGTGAACGGCCGAGTCGGGAAGGGACGCCCTAGAAAAAAGTTTATCGACCAAATTGGCGATATTTTGAAAATGGGCCACGTTAGAAGTACCCTTAAACGACGAGCATGTAAAGGAGGCGAAAGAGGTATATCAGGATCGTGCCAAATGGAAGTCCGTAGTCTCTGCCTACCCCTCTGGGTGACAGGCGTGAGTGTTTATATATAATTTGCTTGTTTTCTGTGATGCCTGATTGAACCATAAACCTGACACGTGTATATATTATATGTGTAAAAAAAAGTAATATACTTTAATTTATAAAAAGCATGTTCATTAGTCCCAGCAATATTACTGACATGCTAAAATTATAATGATGGGGGTATACCTCGGCGCACATCCCCGCGTAAATAGGGTCTGTATCCCAAGGACCGCGTTCCGGTAGTGGAAGAGCACGACGGCGCAACTCCGCAACTAGTTCAGTGACGTCCATGATGGGGATCGGATCAAGGTTGCGCGCCAACCCCGCCAGATACTCCACGTAGTGCATCCTGTAAGAACAGCGGGTATGAACACACCTCGATAAGGCCTCGCTTGTAGAGACCCTCTAGCGTGCCGTAGGGGCGCGGCGGTAGACGTAGGGCCGCGCGTCGAACCAGTGTTTCAAGGTCATCCACTCCCAGGATTGGCAGCGGATCGATGTTCCGACTTCTCAGCAGCCGGCTCAGATACTCCAAATAATGGTTCCTGTAAACACATCCCAGACTCACCGCCGCGCCATCCTCTTCTCACACAATATTTTTATTGTTGTACATTTAGCAGGATTGGGCAGCTATGTGCAAATGTCAACAAAAATTTAAAAAATGCATTTTAATTAATTCCTGTGTATTGGGAATTTGTGCGCTCATGTCAGGTATTCATGTGTAATTTGTAATTACTTTATTACGCTGATTACTTACTTGCAAAGTCCCGCGTTATTTGGGGACGATTCACTGCCACAAGCGCCATCTACGAGACCTGTTGGTGTCTCCCTTTGCAATTGTATAGGACAACGGCCTGTGCTTCCTTCGGCGGCTTCTGTTTCATAACTTATGTTATTCATCTGAAGCAGAAATATAAAAGAGATGCTGTTATTAATTACTTACATTATTAATTTGGTTAAGAAAAGTAATGTGCGATTATGGTTTCAAGGGTTTGGTGTTAAAATCGTAGGGTTGGACAAATCAAGTTGATTGTTAATGTGAGTAGGTAATAAGACGACCGCATACCCGTCAGAATACCTGGCGAATAGACCTTCCCGTCTGAATACTTTGCTGGTTCTGGGTTTAAATCACAGCCAAAAATAACATTTGTGCAAAAACACAAAAATTGTTAGTTTTCGAGTCTGGTTCTGTTGTGATTGTCCCCGTGTATCTAACACTTTATTCTAGGTCACTTTCGATTTTATCGCTTGGATTGCCAACATTAGTACTATATATTATCCTATATAGTATCATCATTAGTACTATATATATCCCATATTGGGTCCCAATAACACAAGTAATAGGTAATTGGCAATTCTGCTATATTTTAATAAGGTCTGACTATGGTATGAGTTCGTTAAAACCCTAATGTTATCTAAAATAAAAACTGATATGATTAGAACATGAATAAGGGCCCTGTAATTCATTTATTTAACAATATACAATCGTCTACATCACCTTGCTATATAGGGCCCCCATGGCGTAAGAAAACGATTCTTTGAAATCTATCTTTCCAATCCAATTTACATTTTATCGATTACAATTACAATTTTTTCGGAAACATTTGTAGCTCAACGCAGACAAGGTTTGTAAAAAATAAAAATCTGAATTTGTCTAAAACATATAAAAATAATCAAAAACTAAATTTTCTATGGGAAAATACAAACCTTTATTATTGAGAAAAAAATTAATTTAAAACAATTGTAATGTGATTAAATCTTTTGTTGAAATGAAGATAGTTATGACTTTAGACTTTTACTCAGCTCTGTTTATAGTGCTAGCAAAAGGTTTTACCTTTGCATCTGCATCGGTCCTAGTGTTATTTTGTATTTGTAAATAAATAAAAACTGTATTTACCTGTAGCAGAGTTTGTAGTTCATGCGGTTCTTTGTCACGTAAATAGAACAGGCAGTTTCGAGGGTGGTGAGCATGGAGGCCTAGTTTAGCGCAGTATTCACTAAGTCCGCATTGGGCGCCCATCATAAAGGGTTTGCCACATCCGTAGCAGAATTCATATTTGCATTGCGTGCAGGTAAAATGCATACAGCCACCTCTGAAAATGTCATGTTATTTAAAATAATCAGATGCTGCCCCTTCTGTATAGGTGATATATTGATTAACTTAAAATCTCATCATCATTCATCAACAACCCATAAATGTAGGTATATGAGCCTCAATAAAATTGTTAGTCATTTATTTATAATTTCTAGAGGATTTTGATTTGTTTTAATTACAGACATTAAATAGGCTGTATTACATTTGAAAGAAATATTGTGATTCTTCCTCATAACGCAATTTTTTATTATACACATACTTAAGTACTTACTGTTGTAAAATGCAATATAAGTTTGAAGATAAATTGAATGTATAGCTTAGCCGCTAAGCCTTAGCGCATTGACATAGGTCAGTATTAAGGAAATCTAAAAGTTGTAAGTAAAAAGACTTAGAAAAGTTTGTTAGAAAAACCTCATCATCGATATCGGAGAAAATATAATTGTATAATTTGCCTGTTAACTGTTGACGTATGTGTGAGTGTGTAACTGTATATTAGCCTTTATTTTTGATTGGTTTTGATCTATGTATAGCGCTGCTAATAACGAACAAATTTTGAGTTCGAAAGAAACATAATGTGTGTCTAGTCTGATGAAATGCTTACTTTTTGTATATATTATATGCCAAACGGAGCCGTCATTAAGAAGTAGGTAGATATGTTGAGGGTGACTCTGAATGAGAGCGTGAGAAATATCGGGATAAAAGTGTGTTTTGCAAGAAAATGTTCAGACCAGAATTAAAAAGGAATGCTTCATCATTTAGGTGGTGGTGGTAGGTAGGTTACATGACTAATGTAGAAAGAATGAATTAAGAAAGGTAACAAAGTAAATTTATGTTGCAGAAGTGAATGGCAGATTCCGCAAGGGTCGCTGTAGACAGTTTTATCTACTAAATTGGCGGTATATTGAAAATGACCAAATTAAGAGTACCCTTAATGGGCGAGCCTGTATACTCAGGTACACGGACGTGAAGGAGGTAAGAGAGCTGTGTCACGATCGAGCCAAATTGAAATCCGTAGTCGCTGCCTACCCCTCTAATTGACAGGCGTGGAAGTTTATGTTATATTACTACTTACTTTTTAAATTAATTTTGACATAATTACTCAACTAGTTACCACTCGCTGGTATATAATAAATACATATATAATATGTATAATATATTATAGTAAATGGACCCGTCCTGGCTTCGTCTAGGTGGATCTATTAATGTGGTGTTATTTAGATTTAAGATATTCATCAAAAAACATTTATTTTATCAATTTTTTGATTTCTCAAAAGAGTTTCAAGTATTTCGGATAAAATAATATAATACCTATGTAGCCTAAATCACACCTGGCATTGCTCTCTATCTATTCTTGAAGTTTTATTACAATTAATTATTCTGAAGATATATCTTCCCGGACAGGCAGAAAACAAAATAAAAAAATAAAAACGTAGTTCGTGTCATAATGACATGCAAAAAATCTTCCCAGTTCAATAAAAGTGTGTTATTATTATATTACGTCAGAGAATAAATAATAGTACCTACATTACGGACAGACCCACTCACTTAAAATTTCATCTTTGTGCTATAATGAACAGAGATGAAATTTTGCCACGCAAAATATTTTTATATAAAATATCCGTAATTAAAATTAAGGCAGTAGAACCAGAGTGACCGACACAGCCCAACGGATTAGTAAGCTGAAGTGGCAATGGGCCGGCCATATAGCTCGAAGAACCGACAACTGTTGGGGAAAAAAGGTTCTCAAGTGGCAGCCTCGTACCGGCTGCCACTCGAGAAGAGGCGAAGTGTAGAGCGACCTCCCACTAGCTGGAGTGACGACTTGGTAAGACATGCAGGAAGTCGATGGATGCAGGTGGCTCAGGACCGTGCTTTGTGGCATACCTTGGGGGAGGCCTATGTTCAGCAGTGGACTTATGAAGGGCTGTAATGATGATGATGATGAAAATTAAAAGCTAGCACAATATCCTTTATTTGTTTCTTCGCAATAAGAATTACCCTAAAAGTAAACAATTTTTTACTATCACTAAATTTAAGTAAAATAGTGCTTGTAAGAGAAAGTTAGAAATAGGTTAGGAAAGTAACATTATAGAGAGTCGGCGCTTTAAAACATACGGCGTGTAATACAGACAATTATTTTTAATGCGGAAAATATATTATAAAACTGAATATAAAAATTAAACAATTTTTGTTTAAAAAATTGCATAAAACTGAACGTCTTAATGCTATTTAGAAGCAACGAGTTTCCGTTTGAGCATGTTTGCGAATTGATTACTACAGGCTGGGCTATAAGTTTTTGCATTTTTGAAGTTACCATGAAAAAAATACTGTACATTATATTCAAATAAATGTTTATATATACGAGGGAAAATTATTTCTTAAAAATAAAACTGGCTGCCATCTCGCCGCTGGCATTCCTGAAATCCGGCCGCTAAATTTCTAAAAATTTCGCGCTGGATATGTTATCCATTTCTTGACGAATATTATCCTTTAATTGGAGTATTGTTCACGTAGACTCGACTTTTAAGATAACGCCATAGAAAGAAATCAGCTGGAATGAGGTTTGGGCTGCGGGGAGGCCATGGAATGTCACCTCTGCGCGAGATCAGTTCGTTAACTCTCGTTGGATGTATGGCAAGTAGTGCCGTCTTGCTGTATTTATGTCTCACTGCTGTAACCCTCAAAATGCTGTAACTGTGGTTGAAAAAATCTCGAAGCATTTTCACATATTCTGCAGTTAACAGTCACAGAATCATCGCGAGCATTTTTAAAGAAGTACGGACCAATTAAGCCCTTTATAGACATTGCCGCCCAAACCGTCACGTATGGAGAATGTAAAGTAAAAGGGATTTCTCTATTACAGATTCTACAATTTTGTTTTGGAAAAATGTGCTTTGTCCAAAAAGAAAATGTTATTGAAGTTGCTAAACCGCTCGGGCATCTTATCGACGAAGCTTTTCTTAAAATTAAACCGTTTTCTTTCAATTCTTGCACCAACTGTATCTTAAAGGGATGCAGTTTTAACTCCGATTTCAATATTCTGTTTGAAAAGTCGTTCGGGGTATCGCCAAAGCATCTGAACGCTTGTGCGTACCGTAGACAATCTTGGCTCGTCCCGCGCAGGCTCGTTTACTTGCGCTTGTGCCACGGTCTCTGTCGCTCCCCCTGCTCCGTGGCCGCACTGTTTGATTATTATTGATAGTCAAACCGGTTGCCTCGAAGTTCTTAACACATGATTTAATTAAATTAACACTTGGGCACTGATTAATATCGTGTAATTGGTAATACGATCGAAATAGGCGGTGAGCAGGGACGTAAGAATCATTGTTTTTGTAAAATTACACAGAACGCGCGTTGTTTACCCGTGAAGCGATGCATTGTGATTTGTGTATCTCTACTCTATGGATTTGTGACTAAACTTCCAAGAAGCGAGGAACCGCACGATCTCTCCCTCTGCGCCGTATCCACGCTAATGTATAATATTACACCACCTTGAATCAGGGCCCTGAATGAAGGGTAGGCGTGGCCCCTAATTAGGGGTGTCAGTTATTACACTACCCTGATTTTACAATTTTTTTTTTCCTTATCAAAAAATATAAAAATAAAATTAGCCCTTACTCAGTCATAGGGATGGACAAGTGAAAAACGTATATATATTTATTGAATCGACATTTTTAAAGTAATTGTTACAAATCATTTAATGTGTTTCGTCCTGCTAACTCTAGTTGCGTAACTCGTGTTTAGTTCCAGTTGTGTAAATTTGAACTTGAGTTAACTCGAGTCGTAATTTTTCCAAGAAGTATGCACATCTACAGGATGCAACATCGCTCATTAAAAACATCAAAGCTTATGTACGATATATCGATTTTTTTCGATGTTTTTATCATCATTTAAATATATACATACATACATAATATGGAATAAATAATCATTTTGAACAGAAATGAAACAAAGAAGTGTAATAATCAAACATTATATTTATGTTATTTTAGAAAGTTTTACACTATTTATTTTCACGCATTTAATTTTATCTACCAATTATCAGAAAAATTTAATTAAATATTTTTTTACTTGTACGTTCATTTCTTTCGAATTAAATTTTAAAATAACAATTTTGATAAGCCTAGTAAGTAGTTTCTCTTCTGGGTGATTGTAGATCCAGCCTCTGAAAATAACCGCTCACGGGGTACCGAAGTTGCCACGATAGGCAAATGGATCCTATCTAGGCTATGAAGCCCAGGAAACAACCCTTTCATGATGTAATATACGAAACTCGTTTTCTGCTTTAGTTTTATTTCTTATGATGTGGTGCGTTAATTTTTCATCCGAACTATATCGAAATACAAACAGGTGAATAACCGTTCATACATAAAAATCAATATTTTAGAAAAATGATTGTAACGAAATACGAAGTACCGTAAGCCGATAAAATAATTTCCGTTACAAAATAACTATTAACTTATAAGACTGTACTTAAGCTATTCATTAAGTTAAAGCTCAAACAATATAATTATTAATAAGAAAATGAATAAAACAATTTCAATCCATTTTTAATATTTGTAAACTTATCTTAATCTTATCACAACAAAAATAACTACAATTTTACATCGAAAATGGAATTACCGATAGAAGACAATTGTACTTCTGAAGTTCAAGTATATTTCTTTTCGGCTGAACCACCTGACCATTCGCCTGTTTTTTGGATTCGTAATTAAACTTTTCGGGTTTGAGTTATTTCTGCTAAATACTCGTAAACCTTCTAACTTTAAAATTTAGACGTTATCTAACTTTGACATATTTTGTTTCGGATATTTTTTATTTTTTGGCAACATAAAATTCGTGATAATAATCGCAACTTTTAACATACGGAATTTTATACCTTCGAAAAGTTGGTTATTTCGTAACCTTTGACGGCAAAACATCGTTTATAAAACATAGCTCACGAAGAACCAACCATGTTTATGAACGATATGTCGATGTTTGAAAGAATTGATGTATCGTTTGCATCCCTAGTCGCGCATCGAATAAGTGCCCTAATTCCCTTAGTGTTATTACCTTCGATCAACAATACCAATTGGTATGTTGGTATTGTTGATCGAAGGTTATTACTCTGCACGGTGGAAGGGCACTGCAGACCGTGTCCACTTTGACGCCCTAATTAGGGAACCTTACTTCCTTTCTCCTATTACACCACCCTGAATCAGGGCGTAGGGACCCTGATTCAGAGTAGTGTAATAGGGGTATAAATCGAATACAAAAGTGCAAAAATTTATAACCCACACTGTATTTAAATCGTTATGTACGTGGGGCACACTGAAATGATCGGGAATAGAATATTTCGGATTGACATTCAAACAATTAAAAAAATGTTTAAAAACAAAAACTATGTTGGTTTAAACAGAAATGGAGCTCACGCGTGAACATTTCCGTACCATAATTTATCACAATTTTCGTCGCGGCTTATCTCAGCGAACTTGTTTCGATTTATGATGTTGAAGGACCGACTCAAACGACAATATGCCGCTGGTATGCCGAGTTCCGACGCGGTCGTGTGTCGCTCAGCACTGTTTCTTCTGCAGGTCGACCAAGCGACAGCGGTCACGCCTGAAAACATCGCAGCTGTGCGATCTATTATATTAGATGACCATCATGTGGCTTACGAGCAGATTCGGGCTGTTATCAGTATCGGAATGACTGCAATTCAGTCGATATTACATAATGAGCTGTGTGTAAGAAAACTAGTTTCCCGCTGGGTTCCCCACAAGTTGTCCGAAGAGCAATAGGCGGCTCGCGTAGATTGGTGCCAGAATACTCTGCAACGATTTAATGGAGGGAAGTCAAATGCCGATTTATAATGTCGTCTCAGGTGACGAACCATGGATTTATTCATACGAACCTGAAAGAAAACATCAATCAGCAGTTTGGGTCTTCGAAGACGAGGTCAAACCAACGAGAGTGGTTCGCTCCCGCAGCGTGTCAAAGAAAATGGTCGCTAGGATTGTCTCGAAAAAGGGGCATGTTGCTACAATTCCTTTACAGGAACGCAGAACGGTTACCGCTGAGTGTTATATCACGGTTTGTTTGCCAGAAACGAAAAAATAACCCGAAATATTGCATCATCTTACATCACGATAATGCGAGCTCCGATACGGCTCGGAAGACAAATGATTTTTTGAAGCAGGAAAACGTTGAGCTGATGAGCCATTCCTAGAATGAAAGATTTATTACGCGGTCAACGGTTTGAAGATCCCGAAGCAGCTGTGGAAGCGTACAAATCAGCCATTTTGTCAGCATCAACTTCAGACTTGAATTATTGTTTTAATTATTGGTTTGCACGAATGGAAAAGTGCATTCAGTTGAACGGAGAATACTTCGAAAAACAATAAAATACAATTTAACTATACAGTGCATGTGGTTTTTCTTATTCCCGATAATTTCAGTGTGCCCCCCGTATCCGTTACATTCAAGCACTAGATGCAAAATAGTTTGATATTTTATTTTAAAATGCTCTCGATAAACTCCCCTACAATTTTATTTATACAATTGCACACAACTGTAATTTTTAACTTGATGTTATTTTAACCAATGAATAACTTTATCTGAGGATTGAAAAATCGGCTCTTAATAAAAGATCGAATGGGAAATTAAATTGTAAAAAAAGAAAATGACAATTGTTATAGAAAACTGCCTACTCAAAGCAGCTAAATAAGTCTTATCAGCAAACAAAGTCTAAACATTTAAATTACCTTGACAGAGAGTACTTGAAATGACAACGCGGACACTCCAGGCCATTCTCTCGCAAATGTTGCTGCACAGCGGCGATAGATCGTTCGGGATCGTTGTCCTCCAACCACTCCGCGTATTTTTCACAAGTTAATCCATCATGATTGGAAGACCACTGAAAATTTTAGTAAAATTGATACTTGTATTGAAACAGGTATTTAATCAAAGCAAAGCTCGATCTCGTTGAATAGCAGTTGCTTCTTTGCAGAGAATTACGTTTGAGGATTTAAAAATTATTATATAATAATACCTATTTATAATGCCGGGTGATGGCGGCATATAAAATTCATCACCTAATTTTATCCCGTGGGTGCTTAAGAGACGATTGTCATTATTTGGCAGTAAAATTCACGTATTTTTGTTATATGTAATTTACATTGATCTTAAACTTTTCAAAACTATGAACCTTATGAATTTTATTAAAATACTTTATTCGGACCATTCAACAGTTTTTATTATATTAAAATGGACTTCATACTAATATGAGTTATATACAGTTCCAGGTATGGAGGTTTGTCACTTAACCAGGTCCCACTTATTTAACCAAGTTTTACTGTATATGAGGTATTAGACATTGATATATTTAAATATATCAATGGTATTAGGTAGGTTTTTGATTTAAGATGCCATGAGTGTACTTCAAGAACATTTCACGACTCAATCCTAAATGAAAACACATATCACAAAGGCAGAACTCTCAGTTTTTGCAAAGGTAACTCAATGGATTCGATAGTATGTATTAGCTTGTCTAAACTACTTTAACGCATTTTATCGAGTTTGATTTGTTTTCACTTCCTGATTCGAGTGCTTTGCAGCACCTATGGTCACAGTGACACCTAATTATTAAAGAGCTAATAGTATATAAGTAAACAATTCTAAAAAAAAGAGATTTAAAAAAAGATACCGGTTTCCTGCATGAAGCACAGCTCACTGATTTGCACTCTGGACATCGCAGTTTCTTTTGCTTCGGATGTACAAAAAACCCTGAGGAACATTCCACACACCACTTGAAATTTGGATCTCGTGCGAGGGTTCTGTCTCTTAGCTGCAATAAGTAATGTTTTTATGTATTAAAAGTGACTGTACGAGTATATGTTTGAAGTTGTGTGAAAAAATCAGTTTCAGGCATTAAATGTAATTTTAGAGTACCAAGAGCAATTTAAAAAGTATTATTGGAATTATAAACTAATTAATGCACCCGATAGAAAGTGGCCACAATATAGCCCATTGACACTAACATTTAAAGTTCAAAGAAAGAAAGCCATTGATGCATTGTTACCCTTGGGAACTTAAAACGAATGCTTTAGAGGTTTTTATTATAAATTTATATATAGGAATATAAAATATTGATTTTTAATATCATAATATGTTCTTATTTATAATTGCATTAAGTTATTTTGAAAATACGAAAATTGTTTTGAAATTTGTATCTGTCATCTTATTTCTATACCTTTCTCTGGAATAGTTCGTGAACATCCGTATTTAGTAACGTCTTTAATAATATGTCCAAATGTGCAAAGTATTCCAACCAAGCATCTTCTGGAAGGTTCTCTAATTCAGGCTCCTTACAGTATGGACACACGCAATCCGCTATACTTCGCTCAGTTATCTGGACTGTAAAGTAATGACGCGCACATTCCCGACAGCATCTGTGAGTGCAGCGCAACATTGACACCATCTGTAAAAAGAAGTGATTTTTTTTAAATTTTATACAGTTTTTTTATAGAACACTTTTTTACTGTTTTAATCGTAAATTGGCATCAGATTCCGAGCTATGGGATAAACAAGAAAGTGACTTGTTTTTATAGGTTAAAAGTGACAAACGAGGACACAGTCCATCTGATGGTAAGTGGTTGCAGTGGCCCGTAGACGTCAATCCGCGCCCGTAGAATCAAAATGCAAATGCGTTATCACGCATGAGGACTAAGATGGAATGCGGGAATGCCTCCTTTCCTTTGTAAAATGGGTCTCCGGTTCTCTACACTTACTATACGAAACATAGAAGCGTTCAGCTGCTATTTTACGCTGGTATTCTTATAGAGTGTAGTCCTTCCCCGGTCGAGCCGACCCATTCGTGCTACAACTATACTACCAATATAACTGCAGCATGGCTCTACCATGTAAATCTTAATAAAAACTTGGTAACATTTCTCATTTTAACCTTCCCTTTACAAAAGCTTGTTAGAAAATAACTTACCTCATATTCTGGTAGACGTGAAGCACATAATTCACAGTCTTGATGTAAGTAAGCGAGAGCGGAATCAAGATCAACACATTCTAGAGCTGCTAACAGCGCCGAAGGTGACTGGATGCCTCGTGTAATTAGCTCTACCGCAAGTCGAGCTTGTTCCCAATTTTCAGTTGCGCCCTCTGCTAGTAGCATACGCGCTTGCCTCTGTCAAAAATAACGGAAAGCCCGTCATAAAATGTATACATAATTAACAATTGTTCGAATGTCTAATTATACATGTCATTATACAAGTCTATTAAATATTACCTCTGGTGAACCTTCCGGTAGTCTGATTGTAGCTAAGTCGATAAGTTTTCCCGACACTCTGCGTACTGTGATAGGTGGCGGTGGTGATAGCGGAATCTGTTCTGGTTCATTATTTTGTTTTACCACCGTTGTTTGAGATTCTTCTGAGTCACTTTCTGTCCATTCATCCTCCGTGCGACATGTTTCGCGAAAGAATTGATTTTTCTTCTTTTGAGAAGCTTCCTGTGGAGGTGATTGCTGTTTTTGCACCATTGGTGGTGGTAACGGTGCAGGTTTTTTCTTTATAGACACTGTAGCCGAGGTTGAAGCTTTTAATTCAACATTGGTCGATACATTTTCTAAATTTTGAGGTTTATTATTAAACAGTTGGGTTTGTAGTTGCTTAATATGGCCGTTTTGAACTTTACTAAATTGCGTATTTGGAGGGGCTGGTGCAGGATACTGTTTTATAGACGTCCGTCGAATAGGCACTTTCGACCCTAACACTTTTGAAGGATTTTTTTCTATTTTCAGTTTATTACTTTGCAATGCTTTTACTAATTTTGGGATGTTAGATTTGTTTGAAATTCCCTTATTAAGAGTCAGGTTAGCGTTAATGTGGTTTGTTGAATATGAACTAGATACGGATTTTTTCATGTCTTCATTATTTTTACTCAAATTATCATTTTCTTTAACTTCAGTATTAGAATATGTAATTTCAATAGTGTTAATAGAAACAATATGGGGCGTTATATCTGCCTCTATAACATCATTTTGTTGGATATGCTTAGTATTATTATCATTGTTTGTTTCAGATATTAATTTATCTGTCAAAACAGTATAATTTTGTGATTGAGATGTATTTACGTTTTTGATTTGAGTGGTATTATATTCAGATGAGATCGGATCCGTTGGAATTTCAGAAATATTTTCAGTAATATTATGAATTACATCAGATGATTGATACATTTTATCTGAAGATACAGAATTGCTTTTATTAGAATCCGTTAATTCAGTACGGTTGTCATAACTTTCATCATTGGATGATGCATATTTATACAAATCTTTGTCAACATCCTCTAAGGTCGCTTTATGTATTGGAACTATATTTTCCGATACCAAAAGAAACATTGTAGGCTGGATATACTTAACTCTCTTAATATCCTGTTTAATACCTATTTGCTTCTGAGGTAAATTATAATGATCATTATTCTCTAAATTTTGTGATGCACTTAAGTTATCCTGTAAACTTGTCTTAGTCATATTTTCTTTATTATCAGTCAGTTGTTCATAAATTTCATCAAAAGAAGTAACAGCATTAAATAAGTTATTATTAAAGTCTTGTATATTTTGAAACACATTTATAGAATTGCTGTCACTATACTCTACTTGTAATGAGTGTTCTTCCTGTAAACTTTTTGCTATAGAGTCTAGTATTTCAATATTTGTTTGTTTGAAATCTTCTACTTGTTCATTTATTTGATGGATTTGATCACTTAAATTAGTTTGCCCTTCTAAATGATCAATAGCCTCTTCAAATTGCTCATTGTCTTCAGAGCTTGTCCTAATAACTTTTGGAGTGCAAGCTATATTCTCATCCTCTGTGTTAGATGTTTCACTTTCATTAACATCAGACGATAACTCCTCTGTTTCGTTTTCTGTATCACTATATGATGATTCTTTTTCTGACGATAAATCAGAACCGTTCGAGCTATTATCAGCTTCACTTCTAGATTTACTTCTACTATCAAGTGATCTGATATCTGAATTTAGTTCCTTCTTCATTTGTTGTATTAATTTTTGTGTATTGCCCACCATATCACTTAAATTATTTGGTTTTTCTTCTTCATTTGTTTTGGCAACTGAAGTTTCAGAATTACTTTTAGAATCCTGGATGGTATCCGTGCTTTCGCTTACAATGCTATTTTTTGTTTTGCTGCCTACTTTTGATTTCGAAGTATGTGCATTCAAAATATCACTATTAGGAAAATCACTCTGAGTTTGTGTTTGAAAATGTTCGAGCGAATCACCAATTTGAGGTTTTTGTATTAAAATGGTATTTTTTTGTAATTGATTTGTTTTAGCAGAAACATCATTTGTAGTGTTTACTAAGTCGTGTTTTTCTTTTTTCAAGCCTATATTATCCTTGTTATTTATAGGACGATCTCGGTTTTCAGCAAAATTGCTTGATTTACTAATATTAGGTAATGGACTAAGCCTAGTTAAAGCGTTATATGCATCTATAAAATCATTTTCAGATTGAACAAAGTCATTGGAATTTGGTTTTAAATTAATATTGTTAATATTAAGAGGGCCCGTATCTCCTTCGTTTGTCATATTATTTTGGTTTGCTAACAAACCTTTTAAGAGCAATTTTTCATTTATGTTTGGAATTCCAGCTTGTAATAGGAGTGATTTTAATTTCTGCACTATGTATATATCTTCTGTTTCGCGATTTGCTGTGTCTGCTTGAGTTTTTGTTGAATTTACGTAATCATTTTCATTTAAATTATTTTTGTGGTTTTCTAGAGGTAAATACATCCAGTCGTCATCTTGATCCATGATTGCTGGTGTGAGATCAAACTCATCAGAACTTTCTTCGGCTGAAATGTAAATGTGAGGATTATGATGGCGTTATGTGACGAAACGGCGAGTCAATGACAATTATTGATTTGGTTTCTTTTTGAGATTACCGCGTATGCGGTGTGAGCGGTCGGTGGGCGGTGCCGCTTCGTCCTCCACGCCCGTCGGAGAGCCCCACACGTGACCACGAAGACGACCCTCACCTTCGATGCCTATTGCTTCAGTCTGAAACATATGTTTTAACAATAACCACATGCATATAGATGTAGAATGTTAAACAAAATGAATTAATGTGTCCAAGAAATTTGTAGAATTATAATAAGAAGACGCACACCTGTCGACGCCATTTTTCAACGCAGTCGGTGACGGCGGGCCACATAGCGCCGCGATGGCGAGCGAGTGCTGCCCGAGCATCACGTTCGCTGACAACAGCACCGGGAGCAAGCCGCACTGCAGCCGCACGTACTCCGGCACAAAGACTGGGCCAGCGTTCGCGTAGCCATGTTATCGGCGCTGCGGGGTTTTGAGCCAGCGCTGCGTGCACTTCCGCCGCACTAAATCCGAGCTTCTCTGCTTCGCCCATTAATCGCGCCAGTTCTAATCCTCTTTCAGTTTCTCGTCGAGCTTCGGCGATGGCTAATGCTTCAAGTGATACAGCTCTATTTCCAGAGAACGGTTCGGGAGATGGAGCCTGTGTACATTTAAAAAAAAACATTTGAATTATTTCTTAAATCATTCCGGTTATTGGGCCGTCATTGGATCAATAATTTACTGCGGAACGTAGACTACTAGAAAGATTTATTACGGCATTCATTGTAATATTTGCTACTTTTGGTAAGCGGATTGGAAATCGCTAGTTTTTTATTCATGTGATGCCTATGAAACAAAAATAGGTTGGCAAACCTTTTCGATGCTATGGGTAAATGAAATCAAATTGGGTATTGACTTCCTCTCATCATTTTCGGCAGATTTTATATGTTGAAATATTTACATTTAAAGCCATACAGGTTACGATATTATTCGTTATCACCAAAGATACAAGGTTGAATGTTTTCAAGTACTTGGTTTTTTTTTCAATTGTCAAATATTATAAGCTAAATATACGGCTTTGTCTGATAACAGAAGTTTGTATATGTTTAAATGTATGCCGTAAGTTAACTGTGTAGTGGCGGTGCGGTGTATGAATATCCACTGCTCCATATCATCCTGTGAGTGTTGTAAGAGGCAACAGAGAGAAACTCAACCAGGGGTGGTAGCAACATCTTTTTGATAACAGCCAACCCGCTTGCCAACCGTAGCAACTTGGCAAATATCCCCCTTATGAGGCAATCTATGGGAGAGTTGTATGTTTTGTACTTTTAATAGGCTGTATACGTAAAATGGATCCTCACCAGGTTGTCACTCCCTACTAGATGAACGTCCTTTTGAAAGACGTTGTTTATTTTAAAAAAAAAACGACGGGTTGCACTCCGGGAGTGCCGGCAGAAGTGAAAACTTGAATATTAACGTTGTGCATTTTTGATATTTTGGAATGGTTAGGAAATAATTTTGCACGAATTGCTTTAATTGTCAGTATAAAAGTACTATAATTTATGTGGTAGAACACAATATTTATTTATTGCGCTATCGTACACAACTAAACGACACAGCAGGCGCAGGCATACATTTTCGCCGCGCCGTAGAAAGAGAGGGGAATACTACCTCTCCTACGCCGCGCCAGCAGTCTCTTTCACTCCATCCGTCTTACGCATTTTCGATCAGGGTCACGTGTCCTGACGCGAGTTTAACATTTTTTACCAGTTACAAAAAAGTGTACAACGCCGCTAAAGAAGTTATCACTTCAAAAATATAATTTGCTTAATTATTTTTATATAGTTTGTGGATTTCGCTTAACCGCGGTAAATATTAGTGTGTAGGATTTAACTATATTTTACTTAATTTAATCCAATATTCTCGAAATATTACACTGTTTCTTGCGGAAAAAGAATTACGTGATATTTGCCAAGATCCTCCCACACTCCCACGTAAGATTCGGCTCGACCTTCTCCAGCTTTAAACACCTTACGTTATTAATGGACGCTACCTAAGGAAACGAATGAATAGGTGTACATTGTACAAGGGGTGCAGAGAGGAACCTCTGATCCATAGACACTGGAGCGCCGCGAAGGGCGCGAGCGGCGCAGGTCGAGGTGCGAGGCGCGACGCGTGAGGCGCGTGGTGCGGCGCCGCTCGCTGCCGCTCCACTCGCCGCCCGGGCTGCTGTCGCGCGTCTCGCGCCACTCCCATCGCCCCACGTTGCCGCCGCCGCCGCCGGCGCCGCTCGTACGGATACTGCGGTCACTTTCCTAAACCACACAATACCAAATTAATTTAAATGCATTACTTTATAAGCCTTTTAAATTCCCTGCTGGATAAACGCCTTATGGTCACTTGGACAATGTATAGATAAGACACATTTAAGGGTTAATGTGTCTTATCTAATACATATAAATAAAATTACATTACATTGCAACTTTTGTCTGTCCGTCTGTTTCGAATTGCTGAACTGATTGTAATGACACTTGTAAAGAATTAAACTTGTCAGATAGAGAGCAACACCAGGAGTGAAATAAACTATATTCAATCGTAAAAACAAGTAAGTAGTATAATTTTTAATTTTTTCAAAAAATGAAAAATTGGTATAGGGCGCACAACACAGAATAGGTAGACGCTAGGTGAGTGCAATATCGATATAAGAGAAACAACAGATCCTATGATAAGCGGGTGGTGATTATTTTGTAGTCGAACTACTCACCAAGCATTGCGATTAGGAAAAGTAAGATTAACAATATAGGGACGGTGTAACAAAATCCGTTACACATATACTTACTCCGTAATAGGCGACGAAGGGAAAGAAACCAGGAAATGAGCAGCAGCGATTTCTAATAACAACTATAAAATAAAAAAACTGCGATTGCCAACCCGCCTGCCAACTATGGCAAATACCTCACCTAAGAAGCAATCTATGGGGGAGATCTATGTCCAGGAGAGGACTTTTGATAGGCTGCAATATGTACCAATAATATAATATGAAGCCGTGGTAGCTCAGATGGTTAGCGCTCGCTGTAAAAAAGTACGCGAGAAAACTGGGTTCGATACCCGCCGGTACCAATGAAATTGTTAATTGCAATTTTAAGTGCTGATTTACCACGTGCGTGGCGGTGAAGGAAAACATCGTGAGGAAACCTGCATGTCTGAGAAATAAGAAAAAAAATTCGAAGACATGTGAAGTTCGCCAACACGCATTGGGGCAGCGCGGCGGACATTTACTTGCCCTAAAACCCTCTCAGAAATGAGGGGAGGCCTGTGCCCAGCAGTGGGACGTGTATAGGCTGTAACTTTACTTTTTTACTTTAATGTGATATGTACCTAACACATCGGTAAGATGGTAAGATCCAATTTAAGAGGGGCCTATTTCCAGTATGGAAATAGGCCCCTCTTAAATTGGATCTTACTTTTAAATTGGATTGGATATTAGCATATTATGATATTCATTAGATATTAAAATTGAGAACAAAACGAACTCGAGTATCGCTTGAAACGGAGTGTCGACTGTGTGAGCGTTCACGACGGCCCTCGTCGCGGAAGCGACGCCGAGCGCGAGACCTAGCTACTGAAGGTGCACGCTCCCATGTGCTAGGTACGTCGTATGTCTGAAAATAATAAGTTTGAGCTTACGAAAATTTGTTATACATATATCATGGAGCAGGTATGATAGTAATTTCTAATACGATGCAGCGAGTTTATTAACTTGCGATTTAAGTTCCCTCAGCATGTTATTTGAGTTATGTTAATTTAACGCCATTATTATTGGATTGGATGTACAGAATGTTTTTCATGTAGCGTAAGCTCTACATGAAAAACTTTCTGTACATACCCTTTTGTTGGAACAATTAGTGTTGTTTGTGACCGTCTTCGTTATGATTAAAATGTTTCTAGAATCTAGAATCATTATCAACAACTCTTGAACCCCCTTTGCTATAAGCACTTTTGTCTTTTTTCTAGGCTGAGGTACTAGTCTGCTTAGAATTTTAATAATACTAAATTTCATGTGAAAGATTAATGATGAAATGTGAAAATTATTTAAATCCAATACTGGACATTACTATTTCCTTACTTGGATGATAAGTGATAACCTACAATTTAAATACATTATAATTTTCTAATGCTAAACACAGACCACCTTTTATTTCTGAAGAAGCACTAACAAGATATGGGTTTTTGACAAAATACGCCTTATCGGCCTTCACACATGTTTTTGCAAAATTTTTATTTCTTTTGTTTTTTCTTAATACCCTATCCAGTTGAACTTGTAGTAATTCAGATTTTAAAATTGCTGACTGCTGAAAGTGCTGGCGATATCGAAGAGCTTTCTTACTTGTAAGATTGGTCAATGCTTACCGCGCTGGTCAATTGCGTTGGTGAGCTTGGAGCCGACATTAGCCGTTCTAAGACACCACTTCACCAGTCTGTTACATTTGAGTTGGTATTTTTGGAAGGATATCACGTCATCGAACTTCGTCCGTCATTCAACGCGCGAAGCTGAACTTAGCTTTCAAGAAAATTTAAAACAGCAAAGGCGGATTATTGTCCGCTGCACCCTAGCGTAATTTTATTGTGATGAATTTAATTAATGAATAGGAATAAATCGACATAACTTTGTTTACTACTTTACCTGTGTTGATATGCTTTGAGGTGGTGGAGAAGTTCCAGTATTAGACACATTTGCACGGCTTGAATTAGACGAAAGTATACTCGACGGTGTATCAATACGGCTTTCCCGTGGCGGTGAAGTACCAGTGGATTTTTTTATGATGCTTGGAAATGAATTTGATGAAGCTTGCTTCTTTGATACCTGCGTAGCTATTTGCTCACGTGGTGGTGAAGGACCGACTGATATACTGTGTCGCTTAGGTTCCTCTGCTTGCGATATATTGTTTCTATTTGGGGAAGACCTAATCTGCGCTCTTGTTGTTGGATTTACATCCGTTTTATGAATTTCTTTAGGAGGAGATGGTCCTACAGCCATATCATGTCGGGTTTGATTTGATTCTGACGGTTTGTTAATAATTTCATCTCGCGCAGGTGTTGCTAGCCTGCTAAGCGGTTTTCGAGTAGTTTTGTCGTCTCTAGGCGGGGATGGGCCGCATGCAGTTGAGGTGCGCTCTTTTAGAATTCTTGTTTTTGTTATATCTGCACCTGTGATGCAAAAAATATATCATTAACTTGTACTAATATGTTATCATGTTTTACATTTAATTTAATGTTTAAAAAATTGGAGCTGCTATAAAATGCAAAAAAAAAAAAATAACGTACCGCAATTATTAATTTGACAAATGAACATTTTTTTAATTCAGTACTAACCTTGTTTCTTGACTGTTTCCTCTGTATTCCGCACTACCGAAGGAGATCTTTTCTCAGATATTTTAAGGTGTTTCATTCCGTTTGTAACACTAGCAGAATTGATTATTTTTGGAGTAATTGTTGGAGTTCTACAACAAACTGCACAAACTCTTACGCCTGGTTCATTGACGAATGTGCAGTGTTCGCATTGCCACGTGGCACTTGCCGCCGGTGGGGGTGGACCTAGAGGATCTTCTTCAGTATCTTCTTTAGCAGGATTTCGATCGCTTTCGACCTCACTTTCCGAATCAGCATCACTTGAAGGGAGAGATGGTGGTGAAGGCGTGCGGTGCTTTGCACGTCGGGAAGTGCGAGAGCGGATGCTAGCAGCCGGAGATGGCGCTCGGGATCCTGCCCGGGATGCTGTCCTGGATACTGCTCGACTATCCGCTATGTAATTATAAATATTTTAACTATTATATCACAAGACATTATTAAATTTCGATAAAATTCTAAGTTATTTTTTATATAGAATAGTCTAATTGATGGTAAGTGGATGCTGTAGCCCATAGACATCTATATGTATTTTCAATTTATAATCGAGATGCAGATGCGTTGTCACTCCTGAGGATTAAGATGGAATGCTTTGTTTCCAGTAAAAAAGGGCTCGGGTTTTCTACATTCACCATACGAATAACAGTAGCAGTCATCTGCTATTTCACGCTGGTATTCTGTGAAAGCGTGGTCCTTTCCTGGTCGAGCCAGTTTTCGTACTACAAGATAGCAGAAGCATGGTTCTACCATTTAAAAAAGGTGGCACAGAATACCCGATGGCTTTAGACAATGATTGAAATCATGTATTAAAGTGAGAGATATGCTGGCCTAACTTTAAAGCATTATACATGAAGGTATGTCTTGGTTTGTCAAGACTTTTTACAGGTGATGAAGATAAAGTATAAAGTGTAAGTGATAGCAAATAATATAAAAATGAAACTGTATTATTACCTCTGCGATACGGTTGCGGAGTTTGCGACGGGTGTACATGAGAATGAGCAGGAAACCGTGGATGAGGGGCTACACAACAGGTTGGCGGCCATGCACCGACCCACGTGTGATCAAGGCTGGCACAGCTGCCATATCGCCATGGTTGCGCCATGCAGTGTGCACAACCCGCACAGTTGGTATTTGCAGGTGGTCCAATTCCTAATTCCATAACTGAGGTCCCTCGCCTCAGCGGGCGACTCCATGAGTGTGTGTGAGGGTTCGCGTTGTCCTGTGAGGTTTCCCATTGCTCTGCTGGCAAAGGCTGTGCCTAACCATATGAAAATGAATAATTTATAATAAAATAATTAAGGAACAACGATAGACGAGATAATTCGAACAACTTGAGACATTAAACCACATGTTTAGCGATTACTGTATTTTTAAAAGATTGCATGAGTGATATTGACACTTAATATTACCTACAAATACATTTAACCTCTTAACTGACTTAAAGAACGAGAAAGATTTAATTAGACTTTATATTGAAATTGGTTGCGCGGAAAACCATTCGCGTTTTTTATTTATGACGGTAGGAACTTACTGAATCATTATTCCTTTCCAAAACGATATCATTCGTACCCTCCTATCGACACATCGGGGTGATGGGGTGGGAGGGGAAAGAAGACGATTCTAGAACATCGCGTAATCACCGGAGCCGAGGATATATAAGACACGCGCGACCGACGCGCGCTTCCTCTTCCCGCGCGCTTCCTCTTCCCGCGCGCTCGTTTGGAAACACCTCACTAGTGGAAACCGCTTTGGCTTGGAAGCAGTCGAGCTCCAGGAACCCGCCTCACCTCGTGTGAGATATCGTCGCGCACCGCCTCTCTCCGGAGTGTTCCAGAAGTCGCTATAGTGATCGACAGGATAGAAGAACCCCGGTGAGTCAATATTCCTTAATTTACTGCCTGATTAATAT